TAACTTGGAACTTTAATTCTGCACTCTCGTTGTCATGTTTAGTATGTTCTCTTATTGTTGCATGCTCCATAAATACAGCACAAATTTCATGACCTAAGACCAAGATGTTTACAGAACCATACACCTTTCTGAACCGGAAGAAAGAACTTCTCTGCCTTTTCGGGGCTACAAGAGGCTGCTCTATTCCTTGGTTCGCACCCCTTTCCTCTAGCTACAAAGACTGCAACAATGAGTCTTCCTCAGGCCGTCATTCCTTCGTTCTTCTGCAGCCAAGAACAGCCCCACTATCAAGGACTCATAAGATTAGGCTGGACCACTTGCAAAATCCAGGATAAAATTCCTCCTTGTAAGGTCTTAATCACATCTACAAACTCTCTTTTTCCATGTAAGCAACATATTTTCAGTTTTCAGAGACTGGTTGTAAGCATTCTTAGGCATAAGCATTATTATGCCCATCACAATTTGGCTATCCCTACTCACCTGGAGTGGATGTAATTCGGATAAAATTGCGAAGGAATCAGGCTATTACGACAGCTTCCTCGTCAACTGGTACCTCCCTGGCACTTGCAGCCTTTGCCTCTGTCTTCCTATGGAGAGTAAATTGCTACGAGGAACACACTCTGGCTTTTTTTAAGGATACATATGCAGCATTACTTTGACTCCACAGATATGGAACTGGCTAGAGTCAGTTAAATATACAATTCGGTGTATATTTAAATGAGGTTCCTAACTGGATGGGCAACTAACCTTCAATTACAGCAATTCCTACCAGATATTACTTTTATGCGATATAAGAGAAATGGAAGCTGTAAAACAGAATTATCAAGGGGGAATAAAATAATCAACTGCCCCAGAATAAAGGTAAGTCAAAGAAAGAAAGTGCTATTTTTATGTCTGTGGTATTAACATAGAATAGATTCTCTCATTCAGTAGTAGTTTTTGAGTGCTCAATAAATATTCCATTATGAGTTACAGGAAACACAATACATGGCTCCCAGACCTCACAAAGCTAAGAAAAACAGATGTAAAAAGAAACATCTAGATACTGACTGAAGCACCGGGTACCGCATTATTTATTTTTCTGCATGTTGTGTAGATGTAATTACTCATCTTACCTCTGAAGAATCAGGCTTGGGAGGGGGGCAAGTAAGTTTCCCAAAGTTCCATGTCTTTTTTTTTCAACTTGGCAGTTTCCTCTGTACTGATGTGATTTATATCCCCTAACAATTTTAGCCCTTTCCATCTGTCCCCCCTAAAGAAAGGAAGGTGCTACTGGGGCTCAGAGCCCTTTGGGCAGTTAGGAAGGGAACAGACAACAAAACGGTCTCTGGATGCGATGGAGATTGACAAGCAGGAAGTCTAAAACAGTGTGGGGACGGAGGGCAAGCCAGGGGAAAGAAAGGAGAGGACAGGGGTGTGCCAGAGGCCCTGTCTGCCATTCCCCTCTTGCTGAGAGGGCTAGAGAGACAGCCTCACACATTTAGACGTAGGGTCTCGGGGAGGGACATGGTGTTTGAGCCTGTAGGAGAGGTGGAGGTGAGGAGGGACACCACCTCCCTCTGTAGAATGGAACCCACACACACCTCAGGGACGGCAGCTACACAGACGGTTGACATCTTCATCACTGAGATGAACGCACAGAAAGAAGTCTTCTTCACGGTGCTGCAGTGGTACGCACCCACCAAGGCACAGGTGCATGGGATGACATTGCTGAGAAAGAAAACCAAGCCAGCACACAGAAGAATCCTAATGAAGAAGTTGAACTGACCGAGTGTGATATCAGAAGCAGCAGGTGTGTGTTTGGTGTTTGTTTGTTGCCTGGATCCAGCTTTGGGGCTTTTTCTACTATCACCAGGACCTGGTCTGGATATCTTTTGGATCTTCTCAGCCTCAGAGAGCTGCATCAATGGCTCCTCCACTCTGTACACAAACTTCATTTTCCCAGGAACCTGGCTGAACCAAAGCCCCACATTCTTGCAAATACCAGAATCATAATTCAAAACTGAGTTTCTCTATGGATCTGAAACCTTTGATCTTGGTATAAAGGTAAGTTTTCTCCCAGTGGCATAGCAAGTATGGAAATAGTTACAATTTTTCTAATTTGTTTGTTTTGTTTTGTTTGTTTCTCTGTATTGTTTGGAGGCTGTCCTGGAACTCGCTCTGTAGACCAGGCTGATCTCGAACTCAGAGATCTGCCTGCCTCTGCCTCCCGAGTGCTAGGATTAAAGGCATGCACCACCAACACCTGGCTAGTTACAAATGTTTTAAACCATATAAAGAGATGCACACAATGTTAAAGATGGAGACCATGACAGGTTTTTCTAGACCCATAGACACTGGCAGACAGTAGCAAAAAAACCTGCAATTTAAGATCTGTAACAAAATGTATATCTAAATAGAGTTACAAAACACCATCATTAAATTATAATTACTATAGAAGAAATGTTTGTAGTATGTGTCTTAGGCGCCCTCCATGTCACCTATAATGTACTTTATTGGATGGGTGGATGTGGTGCTGGAAATGGAACCCAGGTCTTTAGGCAACCTAGGTAAACGCTCTCCTACTTAACTACACCCCACCAATACAGCTTTCACGTTAAAAACCACTTAATGGTGTGTCTCTAAATAGGTACATTTAAAATTTTTTCTTTCCATGCTCACATCCATTTGAAAGACATCTATATTCTGAGCTGTTCGATCTTTGTGCACTCTAGTTTGATCACTCCTTTTTAAAACCAAATCTTGTATCTACATATAGACATGTGTTCTACCCCTACATGCCAGCACCTCCTGGCTCTTTCTCCCTCTGAGCTTTGATGTACCAGTCTGATGTGTCAGTCTGTCAGTGACCTAGTATAGGGATGTAGCACTAAGGTTATTTTATACATCAAGAAAGGGACACTGTCCTCCACATGCATTGTAAATTTTCTAACACTAGGTTGGCATTAATTAGTTTTCCACCTTTGCCCTGAGATGCCAGGCTTTGTGTGTGGATATAATTCATCACACAGAAGCTGAGGGCATGTCTTTTGGAACGAGACCATAGTCTTACTGAGAACATAATTCTCAGTAAGAATAAGAAACCCTCCCACCTTCCCAGCATCCAACTATCACAATGAGCACGTGCCTCTCAGAAGCTGCCCCAGAGTTTTGCACAAACCAGAGACCTCCTGTACAATCAGCTCTGCCCAGCAGGTAATAAAGACCCTCCGTGTTCACATGAGTCAGTAAAAGCAGTTACAGATCACCACACTGTGCAAGGGATTGGAGAGCAATGGCAGCACCGTCAGCATGAGATAATGGACTAGAAGCAAGAAAATGAAGACATTCACCATGAAAAATAGAGGAGAGCTAGGTTAGAGATAAACTTAGGACACTGTCAACACAGAGATGTTATTATAGGGGGCTAGAGAGATGGCTCAACAGCTAAGAACACTGTTATACAATCATGAACACCCAAGTTCATGTCCCAGCACACACATGGCAAGTCAGGCATCCCGGTGCATTCATGCCTGTAACCCCAGCTCTCAGTGTAAAGCACAGAGAGGATTTCTGGGGCTTGCTGGCTTCTAACATAGCTGAGATGCTATGCAAGTCCTAGCTTCAAGGAGGGACTTTCTCTCAAAGGAATAGGCAGAGAATGACAGGAGAGAAAACTCTAACATTACTTTCTGGCCTCCATGTTTGTGCATAGGTACATACATCCACAAATGCATGCGTGCACATACACAGACAAATAAATAAAACTTTTTAGAGATATTGTTGTATAGTAAGAGTGACTGAGCAAAGAATAGAGTAACCCAGCCACAGTCACTCTTCCATCTCAATACAGGACGAAAGGATTAGCATAGGACCTTATTCCCTTCTCTCCTCCACAATGAATGCTTGTTAAACGAGTAGCTGGAGACCCTGAGGAGCAGCTTCACTGAGGTGAGATGCCCTCCCTCAATCTTCCATGTGGCTCTAGCCCTTGAAGATATATTACTCTAATACTTATTCAGATAGATACCAATTCAGATGCATTGTTTGCTCCACTCTATAAAGATCAGGAATACAACATCATTTTACAAACATGGAGGTTATCATTCAAGAAAAGATATAACACAAGGCTAGAGAGACATCTGTGGCTAAGAGCATGCCCTTCTTAGAAGCTGACATGGTTTCTTTACATGTCTATGGCACTGAGATCAGCCGGTTTCCCATGACTCCACGAGGATCACAGGCCGAGTCATTGCACAGATCCGTTTCCTGGCTGAGAAAGGGAAGACTCAGCTCAGCTAGTTGGAATGGAAGCCTAAGCGAGATTCTGCAGCTCCCAGTGGGACTGGAAGTCTTGGCAGCTTCCTCGCTCTGAGTCCACATGTGGAACTAGGCGTATCTTTCATGCCAGCCACCCTTGCTTCTACAACCTAGAGTTAATGAAAGCACCAACCCACATTAGAATCGCAGAGAGCTGCACTTTCACCAACTCTAACGCAGGGTAGATGTCTCATTGACCTAGTGTGGAAAGTACAGCTGCTGACCTGCTTGTTCCAAGACATGGATCTAGGTTATAGTTTGCTATAGCTTAAGGTGTGTTGTAATCAACAGCTTGTGCTATGAAATGGGATGCTTGCCCTAGTCTGCCCAAAACCAGCCTCCTAAGCTTTAGTTTCCATTTACCTGTTACTATTATTTCTTTTTCTTCTCTTCTTCTTTCTTCCTTCCTTCCTCTTCCCTTTCCTCGCCTTCTTCATTTTTACTTACTCAGTTTAAAGCCAGTCCTAATAAGAGGCAAGCCATTGTACCCTGCTGTTTTCATAGGCAAATTTAATAAGCAAATTCCTGTCTCATCCTTGTCACTAAGAAGATGTTGACTAAGACGGGACCAACGATGACTGCTAGGGAAACCCACTTATTCTTCCCACTGGCTGCCACTGACCAGTGAAATATTAAGCTACTGTGAATCTTTCCAGCCACTCAAAAAATACACTCTTCCAGAGGGAGGCTGCGCCACTAGGATGAAGCTCATGAGACTTTTGATAATATTGAGTCATGAAACTGTAACCATCAGATCGGAGAATGGAACACAAGTCCATGGACCAATCACAGGTGTAGACGTCAGCGTGAACACACATCTTAAAGCCGTGAAAATCACTCTGAAGAACAGAGAGCATGTACAGTTGGAAACATGGAGTATTGGAGGAAATAACATCCAATATTTTATTCTACCAGACAGCTTACCTCTGGATACATTACTTGTGGATGTTGAACCTAAGGTGAAATTTAAGAAAAGGGAAGCTATTGCAGGAAGAGGACATGGTCGTGGCACAGGAAGAGGGGGTCCTAGAAGATAATGCCTTTCAAGATTACTCTTTCAAAGTGATAAGGAATTCAGGGATATTTTTGTAGGGGGAAACTTAGAACTGTGCCATTAGCCACATGGCGCTCTAGAGGCACATACAGATGTGGTAATGATAGTTGGTTCACTGCGCCCCTAACCACACCAATTTTGGGTGTGACTAGAGACACATACAGATGTTGTCATAATAGGGCGGTGAACTACGCCGCTAGCCAGACCCACTTTTGGGCGTGGCTAGAGGCATGTACGGAGGTAGGAATAAAGGACTAAGCAGCAGAGGCTCTCGCTCTCTTTTTGGCTTCCTGTTCGGTAGTGGAAAAGTACTTGATTCATCTGGGTTGCCCTTTTCTCTTGTAAGTAATTTCTACAATAAACAGTTACCTATACCCTCAAACAAAGTGTGCCTTTTATCGTTACAGTAACAGTTTTGTTTGTCAGTTTTTAATAAAGGTAAGTGTGGGGATGGAGTTTTCTGCTGATTTTCAAATCTAAGTTTCAGTGTCTACTGTGTACTCAACACAATCTGCAATCTGTTCAGTTCCTGGTGTCAGTCACATGAAATGAGTGTTCACTGAACATGCATTTAATTTCTTTGGATCCATTATGTGGTGTTCCTTTTGTGATGAAATAAACTCTTGGTATTTCAACAGGGAAAAAAAGACAAAATTCCAAAACCACAGTAACATCCGCTGTGTTAAGAAAAGGAAAAAACAGTTTGAATGGAAAATGAATGTCATCCAAAATGGTTATTCTAATACTCACTTTAAAAAGCTGTATATCCCCACACACACACAAAGTCACATGTCTGAAGGAAAATGGAGAAGGCATCTGCTATGTGGCCATGTGCTTCTCGGCACCCAGCCACATTCTCCAGCATCCCTAGCCACCAGGGAGTTTTAAGACAACTTTAGGTTTCCACGGCTATACCCCAAAAACAACTAACTGCACAACCTGCTTTGTAGTGTGGAGAGTCTGGCTCTCAGCGGGAGGAGGACAGGCTGTGTCCTTTACAGAAGGGTTACAATGAGAACTACAGAAAGAGCTTTGCTTCTGGAAGGGATGGACTCTTACTCCGGTATAGTTCTTGTTTAGTCATTTTTCTTGAACAAGAAACTGGAAAATCTGGCATTCTACGGAGCACAAAGACAGCAGCAATCTGCTATCAGCATACAGTTTGATTTAAAAAAAAGCCATTTCCCTTTTCTCACAATCTTCTACTGGCAGGAGCAAGAGCCCAGTGCGATCCAACCCTAAGCACGTGGCATTTCTGGCTGTGATACAAAGGACTCCAACATCTTTCTGCATGTTTGATGACCCTGGGGACCCTGCAGTGCAGCACCGCTGTGGGAACATCTGAGGCAGCTAGCGGGCACAGCTGTCTTTGTCTTCCCACACTGTTCAGGGCTGTGCCTGTGGGGAGCTGCGGAAATGGAAAGGGGTGCTGGCTGAGGAAATTATAAGCTCACCAACACCGATGTGGTGAAACCAGCCTATCTGGGTTCTTAGTTGCTGATCTCTGCTCCCCATATTGATGGGGGAAGTCCTGTACATTTGTTAATAAAGCACTGTTGGCCAATAGGAATCTAGATGGGTGGGACTAGAAGTCCAGGAGGATTCTGGGAAGGAGAAACACAAGAGAGTTCGACATGTAACGCCATGGGGTAGGAAGCCTGAAACTATTCTCCGGTAAGAGAAATACTTAGATTAACAATTATGGGGTAATTACTTAAGTCAGAGCAAGCCAGTAAGAAACAAGCAAGGCCAACAGCTTCATAATTAATATAGCCTCCTGCATGTTTATTTGGGACTGATGCGGCTCTGGAACCAAGCTGGCAGGAAGGCTTCTCTCAAAGAAAAAGCTTCCCTTTACACCATATAATGACTATCTGTGCCCTGACCTCTTCTCCACTCTGAAAACTGTGTCTCATAGAAAAAGAAAACTGTCTCTCGGGGGAGGGCTGTGGCCCTTGAGCTGGGACTGTACCCCGTACATGGTCGGATTGAATGCTGCAGTGAAGTTTCCTGGAATGTGGTGAAAATGGGGCCAACACAGTGCTTATAGACCATTCAGGAAGGGGCTGGAGGCTTCTGGGAAAGAAAAATCTGGCGACTGGTAGTGGTGGCACATGCATTTAATCCCAGCACTCAGGAGGCAGAGGTAGATGGATCTCTGTGAGTTCTAGGCCGGCTTCCTCTACAAAGCAAATTCCAGGCCATCTAGAGCTACATAGTGAGACCCTGCTTCCTCCACCACACCCCCAAAAAAGGAAAAAGAAAAAAATGAGAAAAAGAATCTGCAGGTGTCTTGCTAACAAGAAACTTGGTCCTGAAGCATTCATTTCAACAGCATTGCAAGCTGGTAGGTATGTAGCCACGCCTGCATCATGGTACTTTTGGTATTAGTAGCACACTGCTTCAAAACATGATGTCATATCCACACAGCAGCGGTCTGCTGAAATAAAAGGCTTCCTGTTTTATACTCTCTTTTTTTATTTAAATCAGAAACAAGTTTGTTTTATACTCTTGTCCCATCCAGAGTCATTTCTGCCTAAACACTGTCAGGGATAATTCATCACAGGTCAGCTCAGGGCTGTCTGTCTTCCTGTGGGTATAATGTTCTTTCAACACCATTCAGAAAAGTGCATTAGCTAATGACCCTTCCAGGTCTGGGGGAGGCCAGTAAGGTCAAAGACTGGATCCTTCAACAAAGGAAGCTAGAAAAGCACTTTTTCTCCACTAGCAAAACCTTGATATATAGATAGCAAACTTCTGGCCATATGCTACCCACAGACATTTCCAATGCAATCTCACTTACAGATGGACCCCAAGTCCGCTCAAATTCTTGTATATGTCATAGTATTGGTAAAATGACTTAAACAAACACATTCCCTTTTAAATCACAGCTCAGTGCCCAGATCATCCTTTGGGCAGAGTGTCATATCCCCCTGCTTCTCAAGTGCTAACCCTGTCCCTGGATGGGAGTTCCTTGTGCCTTACTGGATGTCTTACTGCTGTGATGAAACACCATAACCAAAAAAAAAAAACAGTATCCATCATAGCACTATTCATCTTTGAAGGAAACCAGGACAGAAACCCAGGGCAGGAACCTTGAGGCAAAAGCTCATGTGGTGGACACAGAGGGGTGCTGCTTACTGGCTTGCTCTTCATGCTTGTTAAGCCTGCTTTCTTAAGTACCCAAGAACACCAGCCAGGGATGGTACCACCCACAATGTGCTGGGCCCTCTCACATCAATCACCAATTAAGAAAACGCACCGTAGATTTGCCTGCTTGCCAGTCTCGCGGGAGCATTTTCTAAATTGAAGTTTCCTCTTCCCAAATTACTCTAGTCTGTGTCAAGGTGACACAAGAACTAGCCAGCATATTGAGGTAAGCCTTGTCCCTGGAGTGGAGTATGAACCCTGAACTTGGCCTTTCTCAGCCCCAGAGAAAGACAGGTCAAAGTACTTAGGAGGTCTTGTGAGCGCAGACATTCCTTACTGGGGACAACGACCAGGATCCTGCCACCAGGAGCTCCAACAAATGATCATTTACTGTCTAGAGAATACTCTGGACATCTCCAGACTAAGGCAGGTAGACATTGGTCTAGATTATTGGGGGTTAAGTAGGACACCAAAGTTAGGAATAAAGGTCCCCCTACATGTTTACATGATTGACGCTGACGGGAAAATCCTCCACCTACACTGATGCAATTAAGGTAACATTAAGCTTGCTTTAAACTATACAAGACCATGATTCTTAACTCTATCTAAACACCAAACTAACCACTTGTAAAGTTTTAAAGGTGCACGGCCACCAGTGCGTGGCGGCGTGGACTGTAATCCCAGCACACAGGAAGCTGACACAGGAAGGTCACAAGTTTGAGGCCAGCTTCAGCTACAGAGCTAGACTGTGCCTCAGATAAAGGAACAAAAAAGGAAAAAACTTAAAAATAGCAGAGTTTACTGCTCCCAAGCCAGTCCAGGTCAGAATCTTCAGCAGTAGGGATCAGTAGTTCATATGCTGAAAGTGCCAGCATGCAGCTGAGCCTGGGAGCCCCTGGTCTGCAGCTACCTAGGCCACGTGATTCTTCACAACCATGCCCTTGGCTCTGGCAGTAAAGGCTCTTTGAGAGATTCTGATGTAGGCTACCTCTCTCTGGACATGGTAGGACTCTGATTTCCTGAGGCATTTCTTCTTGTGAACTCACATCTTACAACTTGTCTGAGTAGAGGCAGCCTGTTCTGTTCCCACTAAGGAGACATCCCATTTCTAGAAAGATCTCATATTGTTTTAAGACTAGGTATAAAGAGAGGGGTTGGGGGGAGGAAAAAGAAGGGAAAAGCGATGTGATTGTATTTTAATCTTCTTAATGTTTTTAAGAGAATAGGTAAATAAGAAAGGGAAGAGGAGAATTTGGGCCCATGTCACTTAGCCTATGTTGCACCAATGATCAAAACAGTAAGCATGGTTCAGGGTCACCCATTCATCCAGTTACATGAGTAATTTCAGAGTAATTAAATGGATGCATAGGTACTAGAAATTATCAATAATTTTTTCACATACATGTAATATCTATGTAAACAGATATATCTCACACATAAACAAATAAGCATCATAAAGTTTTATAACTGAAATATTATTAACAGTGTGGTGGTTTGAAAGAAAATGGTCCCCAAAGGGAGTGACACTCTTAGTAGGTATAGCTTTGCTGGAGTATGTGTAGCCTTGTTGGAGAAAGTATGTCACTGTGGAGTGGGCTTTGAGGTTTCCTTTGCTTAAGCTACACCCAGCGTGGGAGACAATTTACTTCCTGCTGCCTGAAGATCAAGATGTAGAATTCTCAGTTCCTTCTCCAGCACCATGTCTGCCTGCATGCTGCCATGTTCCACCATGGTGATAATGGAATAAAACCTCTGAACTGTAAGCCAGCCCCAATTAAATGTTTTCCTTTATAAGAGTTTCCCTGGTCATGGTGTCTCTTCACACCAATAGAA